TATGCTGCTGCTGGGAATGTAAATTAGTCCAACCATTGTGGAAAGCAATATAGAAGTTCCTCAAAAAACTAAAAATAGAAATGCCATTTGACCCAGGAATTCCACTCCTAGAAATTTACCCTAAGAATGCAGGAGCCCAGTTTGAAAAGACAGGTGCACCCCTATGTTTATCGCAGCACTATTTACAATAGCCAAGAAATGGAAGCAACCTAAGTGTCCACCAGTAGATGAATGGATAAAGAAGAGGTGGTACATATACACAATAGAATATTATTCAGCCATAAGAAGAAAACAGATCCTACTATTTGCAGCAACACAGATGGAGCTAGAGGGTATTACGCTCAGTGAAATAAGCTAGGCAGAGAAAGACAAGTACCAAATGATTTCCCTCATTTGTGGAGTATAAGAACAAAGCAAAAACTGAAGGAACAAAACAGCAGCAGAATCACAGACTCCAAGAATGGACTAACAGTTACCAAAGGGAAAGGGGGTGGGAAGGGTGGGTAGTGAGGGAGGGAGGGAGAAGGGGATTAAGGGTCATTATGATTAGCACACATAATGCAGGGGCGGGGCATGGGGAAGGCAGTATAACACAGAGAAGATAAGTAGTGACTCTATAGCATCTTACAATGCTGATGGACAGTGACTGCAATGGGATGGTTGGGGGGACTTGATAATCTGGTGAATGATGTAACCACAATGTTGGTCATATGAAACCTTCATAACATTGTATATCAATAATACCTTAATAAAATAAAATAGAAAGTCACCATCACAGGGTGCCAGTGGGAGAAGAAAGAAAGGAGATGAAATTGCCCTGAGCTCAGATCCAAAAAGCACGACATGGCAGAGAGCTGGAGACCCTGGATAAAACCACCTTCCTGCCCTCATGTCCTCTCAACAGGGTCTTGCCAGATGATGAGGTGCATGAACACATGCACAGGCAGAGGCCCTTCTCCCACCTACTCCCTAGACATTTGTCCATGTATTCCAAAGCTTTTTATTGGGTGCCTACTGTGTGCCAGGCACTGAGGTTACAACTGTAATCAAGACTCAGTTCTTCTGTGTACTTAAAAATGGTTAAAATGGTCATTTTTATGTTATCTAGCTTATCACAACTAAGGAGTTTTTTTAAAGACTCCTTTTTTTTATTAAAGCATCATTGATATACAATCTTACGATGCTTTCACATGAACAACATTGTGGTTTCAACATTCACCTGTATTATCAAGTCCTCAGCACCCCCATTGCAACCACTGTCTATCAGCGTAGTAAGATGCTACAGAAAGACTCATTCCTTGCCAGCAAGAGTTTAAAGTAAGGAGATGAGGATAGATACAAAGCACAGTTTCAATGGAGAGGATGACCTACAGTAAGACAGAGCAAACCAGGGAACCCAGAGATTCCCTAAGCCACAGAAACTGTGCCCTGCCCATCTGCTCATCTCGTCCTCTCTCTCCTTGTGAGCAAAACTGCTCTGGGCATAAGAACCTCCCAGCACACCACCAACCAAGCTGCAAGCCAGATCCACTTTATTGCCGAAACATGAAAATCTCACTTTTCTAGTGCTACAACTTCACAGTACCACTCCACAGACTAATGACTTGTCTTAAGTTATAAATTTTTTATTATTTCATTCACAGAAGTACCAACGTATTTTTACTCTGAATTTTTCGTTATGGCAAAAGCAATATTATAACAGTTTAATTCAGTTATACACTCACTACCTGATTGCACCCAACCACAATAGTCAAATGCTCAGACCAAAAACTGTGCTGGTATCTATGACTCCCCTGTGTTGTCTCTCACACCCTACCTCCAGTTCACCAGGAAATTGTGTCAACTCTACCTTCATAATAGGCCCAGAATCTGCCTACTTTACACAGCTCTACTGCTCCCACAATCTATCATATCATCTCGCCCCACACACTACTGGTATAGCCTATTCTGACTAGACTGCCTGCATCCACCCTTGCCCCCCAACCATCAGTTCTCCACACAGTGAACAGAGGTGTCCTTTCAAAGTATAAGTAAGATATCACACCTCTCTGCAGAATCCTCCAGTGATTTCTCATTTCACTCAGAGTAGAGATCCGGCCTTTGTTACTCCTCGACCTCATCCCCTACTACTGTCCTCCTGACTCGCTGTGGCCCAGCTACATCGGCCTCCTTGCTGTTACATGCCATGTCCATTCCTGGGTCAGGGCCTTTGCACCAGCTGTGCCCTCTGCCTTATACACTGTTCCCCCAGAGAGCCATATGGGATAACTTCCCTACCTCCCTCAAGTCTTTGTTCAAATGTCATCATCTGCTTAAAACTGCAATGCACTCCAACATTTATTATCCTGATTACCTGTATTTTTCTGTAGCACATATTAAAGAATGTTCTAACATTCTAGCATATTCTAACATGTTACATAGTGTACTCTTTTGCAATATGATTCATTCTCTGTCTCCATCCCACTAGAATGTTAATTCCATTAGGGCAGGTATTTTTGTCTGTTTTACAGTATCCCAAGCCCCTGGAATAGTGTCTGGCACACAGTGGGCACCTAATAAATAGTTGTTGCATGAATCATGAGAACAACAAAATGCACATCCATAAAGCAACGCTTTCCCAGGCCCACACATTCTGCTTCTCTGGGCTCCAAACCAGGGGAGGAGAACATGAAGGACTTTCCCCAAAACTTTCACAAAGCCATCTTAGACAAGTGTCCCTTCTGTGATGACATGTGTCACTACTATATGTTGGAAACTTTTTATCAGGGCAACCCAGATAGACTAGACAGACATTGGACAGAATGAAACCAGAGTCACCTGACCCAGGCTTGGCCAACCAGAATTCTTCCCTGTGTCATTTCTAAGTGGTGCTGACAGAGAAGTACCTCTTTCCACTCAGACTGTTAAGCCAGAGGATACAAAACAGAAGTTCATTAAAACAAGAATACAAATTCATTAATGAATTAATGAGTAAATCCAAGAATGAAATTTTAAAGCAAAGTAAATATACTAAATTAGAAAAAAGAATATAAATTTTAGGAGTCAGAAAAATCCCAGTTCTGAGTCTCAGCCTTACCACCTAATATCTTGGAGTCTTTGAGAAGGAGATGTAACTTCTCTTATATCCTACATCACTTCCTCATAAAGTTATTGTAAGGAAACACCTAACACAAACTAGCTACATAGGCCCTTCCCTCTAACACATAGGATCCACTACAGTGACCCAAAACCATCATAGCTTTCTTGACACTGGGCATATGGAAATTAGAATCTCATTGATTGGACTTCAGCTAAATGATAAAGTTATGATTTGTCGATCTTTATATGACTGCAAGGATATTTTTTATCAGAATTACTGCATGTGAAATAAGCTTTTAGAAATATTTCCCCTTTTTTATGATAAATATTTTTGCAAATGAATCCAATAATCTGATAACCTTATAATAGCTCATTGGGTTTATGTGTTGTTGAACACTTGGATTCACTCTACCAATAACATACAAATAAACAAGATATGGCAAGACTTAGGTACCCAACAATACACCAACAATAAATAAGTTAGAATTCTCTGTCAACTAAGAATTTGATGGGATTTTTTAAAATTTCGTTTCTTTTGATCTTTCCTTCCTTATTTTATACATCTCAGGACAATAGATACAAACAGGAAAAAAATTGCATGAGTTTGTTTTTGGTTATTTATTTTCATCAACATTTAAATGGAAAACTCATCTGAAAGTCAATACAGAAAAGAAAAAGGGTCAGAAGAAATAACTAAAAGTTTGGTTAAATAATTCACAACAAATTTATAAAATGGAACACTGAGCCATCATTAAAGAGATTATGGGATGGAATTTTATTGGCATGGCAATGTGTTTACAATGGAGGAGACAAAGTCATATATGTAACACACATCCACTGATGTAGAATTAGCGATTATGTTTCTCTGTTTCTCTGCTCCTGGAAGCCTCCAGTACTTCCTCTCTTAATACTCAAAACCCTTTGCTGTTATTCTTTAGTTAGTATTTAATGTCCCTGCCAGACTCTTCAGTCCCAGTGCTTAGGCCCATGTCTGGCACAGGACGACATGGCCAGTAGAGAGCTGTTGGATGTGTGGGTAATGCCTTGAGCTGCAGAACTGAGTTTGTTCTAGATGATCCCACTTCCTTTCCAAAGTGCTGGCAAATCATTCTAGAATTTTGCCTGGATTTTCATCAGGCTTGTGGAATTGACCACTTTCCGCTTTGTGAGTGTTTGCATTCTCATTCTTTACACAATGTCCAGGAAAATGTTCTGCTCAAAGTGGAGGCCTTTTGAGTGATTGAATGATTTAGCCAGTATCACCTTAAGAGAACAAATGAAGAACTGGAGTCATTAGAATTTGAGACTACAGCCATTCCCTTTCACAGGCCAGCCACTGTGGTTGGGGCTCTGTGTCAAAGGCCCTTTTTATTCACCAGAGCAATCCTCTGAGGGAGATACTACGTGCCCCGTTTTAGATGAGGCGACTGAGGCTTCAAGTCTCAGGGACTCACTCACAGCCCCTAAGCGAGGAAGGAAAGAAACCAACATCGCAGCCAATTTTTTCTAACCCCATCCCCTCCTCTTCCTCTGGCAGCTGACAGTCCCTCTCAGGAAACAAAGCAGGCAGATGTATCGTGTCCATCTCACAGGCAATTTGATGAAGCAGAAGGAGCCCTGGGAGGAAGCTCACGAAGTCCATTGCCCCAAATGTTCGTGTGTGCTCAGTCAGTGACCGTGATAGCAGCGGGAGAAGACAGTTTTCTGATTCTGCTGCCCTTGGCTCCGGGACCAAAGCAGAGAAGAGAAACAGTAGCCATACTCCCCAAGCCAAGGCCTGTGCACAGCCTCTTCAAACCACCTGGTCATTAAGCCTTGAGATAATGTCCTCCCCACCCCGTATGGCATTTGTAAGTAAGTAGCTACATAGAAGGAAGCACTGCTTGCATTTCCTGAACGGATTCTTTCTCTTTCAGAGGGAGACCCACTGCGCAAGCAAGGAGAAAGCGCTAACAGGGGAGAGGACCAGAGGGAATGACAGTGACAGTGAGGCTGCGGCTGCCCTCAGCCTGACTCCAAGGACAGATGAGTGATGTTTGCTGTCATTACAAGAAGTTCCTGCTTGATAAATACTGTCTGGTATGTCCTTTCTGATTTCTTACCCTCATAGGCAGGCCCTGATCGCTGTGGTTCACTAGGCAAATGCTAGTTAACTACTGAATCCGACTGCTGGTGACTCAGCAGCCCCCCCGCCCCTTTCAAACAAAGTTGGGTTTAAGGCAGTGGTCTGCTAGTGGGAACTGTGGCAGGAGGGTTTTGTTTTTATTCTACTGTGGGTCCACTAATTAATAAGTTGGGTGAAAAGACAAATTTTGGCTCCATGATTATACATATCCCCAAAATGGAAATATTTATGTCAGTTGCTATCGCCATGTGTGATTAAAGAGAGACTGAGCTCCAACATCTGAAGACCTCGGCCCTGGTCTCAGCTCTGGCTATGCGACCTTAGACATGCTTAATCTCTGACACCAGCCTCTTCATATGTGAAGTGACAGTATTGATAGTATCCATTATTCTGGAGATTGTAAGGAGCAAATGAGGTACCAGGCAAGAAACGCTCTTGAAGCTTAAAACACTGGATGCACACTAGTTATTATTGTTATAAAGCTAACAGCTTCCACCCTGCATTACAGCATTGCGCACCTCTTTATTTCCCCAGCAGCACACTAATTTGCACATGATGGCTCTCTAGTCTCTGTTAATTGCTTTAATTAATCACACTGAGTCATCTGTGTCTTGGTGCTGCTGGGCTGAGCAGATTTCTTTCTTTAGGATATTGAATTCAATTTCCTCATTTTCTTAAGCACTTTCCTTTTCCCCACTACAAAATTTCCAGGTGGGCCACACCTTAGATTAGGTTTGCAGATCCTAAGGAAAGGAAAGAAAAGGATAGAGAAGAAAGGTGGGAGAAAGGGAAAAGAGAGGGGGAGATCCTGGGGTACCTGGATCTGTTCTTTTCACCGTTTACCTTAGTTCCAGAAGTAGGTGCTGTTCAAGAAGGAGAGGCCCAGAAGTCAAACTGGGTCCACCACCCCTTCCACATGCCTCTGGGGGCTTTGCAGGGGCTCAGCCAGCCTATCTTCATCCCTAAGTCTCCTGTTCCCATCACAGAGGGGGACAGAGACAGAGACTTCAGAGCTGGTACTGAGACCACCAGAAATCAACTTGTCCAATCTCTGCATGAACCCTGGAAATCAGAGGGCAAGGAGATACAGATTACAGATATCCCTTGCCCCAGTTCCCAAGACAAGGCCCCGGAGTCACCTGCTAAAAGTGGCATCTAAAAGAGGCATCATAAAACAGAACTAACCACCTGACATCTTCGAGGTTTCTTCAGAAACTTTGTAAGTATGTAGCTAAACAGTTATAATGACATTACAGATTTATTCACCTCTAAAAAAACAAACATGAGATTTGATTTCTCAGTTTAGCTCACTCTTCCCCACTGTCCCTTAGATTGGCATCCAAGACCTTCAAATGCAGCTTCACTTTGTCCAACCAGCCCTAGTCTGTCCATCACTGGCTCACACACTCCCCAGCTCTGCCACACAGGGGCACATGTGGATCTCCAGATGCGCCTTGTTCTCCCCCCTCCAAGGCAGCGGCTGCAGCTGCTTCCTCTTCCTGCTTCCACCTGCGACTTTCACATGATGACATTTAAATGGCACGATGGTACTGCCTTCACAAAGACTTTAAGACACACAATTTTTAAATTACAGTCTCTCTCTCTGTCATCTTTGAATTCTTACAGCAATTTGTGTATCACCCACAGCACCAACTGGATTCTGCTCTGTATTATAAATCTGTGGATTTGTAGCATCTCACTTCCGGAGTGCAAACCCTGAGTCTTTATCATCTCTGTATTTTCCAGAGCACCAACTGCAGTAACCTGTGCACTGTTGAAATGACTCAGCATATAGCACTGAATTGAGAGAGACCTGTGGAACATTGGCTGGGCTCGAAATTCCTCATCTGCAAAATTAGAGCTTTGGCAAAGTAGCCAGTCATTCTGTGGGTCTACAAAATGAAATGAGTTTCAGTTATCGTGAATAAATGAATCACAGGACTTATATTTCTTTCTGGTTCAACCCTGAAAGCACATGAGAATTTTTCTAATACTACACATGCCATGTAAAGGAAAAACTGCATACTTATACATCAAGTACAAAACTTAACTCTCTTAAAAATCGGTAGAGTTCACTACAAACCAAGTATTGTCTGCTCCAAAACCACGGGCTACAGGTAACTATTTAAGAAAAAAAAAGTACTGGTTGTTGGTATGCTCTGAATTTCATATCTAAAATTGATACCCAAACTCAAGCAATATTTTGGCCTGATTTTTTTATTTTAGTCTAATTTTAAATATAAGTTATTATTATGAATTTTCTGGACCTGGAATAAAATGCTCAGTGGGCTTCACAAAATCTAGAGTGGAACGTTCAACATCTGCCTGACCATTCACCCAATTTATCAACTACGTGCTGGGCACCACTCTAAGCCAGGGACATATCAGTGACCAACAGTGTCAATAGTCCCTGTCTTCATGAGGGTCCTGTTCTAATAACATCTGTATCCTTTAGTCCTATCAATGGTGCACAGATTTTGTGTATAAAATGTAACCAGATGGACCCAAGAAAATGGGGCTCATGCTAACAGAATCTTTCCAAAATGTTAAAGATTAATAATAACACTAGCTAACCCCTACTAAGTGCATACCACATGTCAGGCATGTTCTGAGCACTTTCCCTATCTTATTTCAATTAATACAACAAGCCAGTGAGATAGGTAGTAGTATTTTCTCCCTTTTACATATAATGAAAAGGAGACTGAGAGGTTAAGGAACCTGTCAATGGTCACAGAGTTACTAAATGGCAGATCTCAAGGAACCTGGCTGTAGTTCCTATGCTTTTAAATATTATGCCTTCAAAGTATCTTCAATCTGCATTTAAATATTTGACCTATTTTGGTCTGATTAAGGTTGCAGAAGCACTCCCATCTTTGACATTCAGTCCCTTAGGTGGCATCTCAGTATGTTACATAATGAGAAATACTTGCTTATTGATGATTACATTATCCCTAAGAAGTAGGAACATGGTAACTTTTGCAATTATAGAAACAGAGATTTTCTCCAATCAATTCAGCTCCACTGTAGGCACTGTGCTGGGACAAAGAGACATAGTCTTCAGGATGGTCATGTCACTATTTCAGTAAAGGAGGAATAAGTAATCACATGACTGACAAGTACTGTGAAAGTGAACTCAAGATGCTATGGAAGCATTCAGCAAGGGACTTTAAGCCTGCCTTCGGATAGGGAAGGTTTCTGAGAAAATGAGACTGAAATCAGCGTAGGAGCAAGCCAGGCAAAGAGGGCAGGAAATGGTGCTCTAGGTATTTGGAAACCAACTTTTTTAAAGCCCAGGACTATTGATGACTTTTGCCAATATAGTTTTTGTGGAGTAGAGAGAGCAGAGACACAATCCAGTGGATTAAAAAATGGGAGTTAAAAGTGGAGTCAGAAGTGTATAGGCTTCTCTTTGAAGTGAGAGAAGCAGGAATCAAAGAAGTTTATGGAAGTTTTCTCTGTGGAATATGAAGCTCAGTAATCTACTTAGAAAGGTAGAGAATTTTGAAGAGAATTCTTCAAGTGAATCAAGAAAAATGAGAATTGTGGAGGGACTTTGAAGAGAGTATCAAAGGTCTAGAAGACATAGGAACAGAACCAAACAAGGATAAACTAAAGGACTGAGAAGCAGTGTTATCTCAGCTAAAGCTGGCAACCATGAATGGCATCAGCCCACTCACTCAGGTGTGCGTCCTTAAACTTGTAGGGAACCTGTGACAGTTTCCCAAACCAATCCCTGTGGCTCTCACATTTCAGAACACTTCTGCTAGCCAACCAGTGACCTGAAATTCTCCGATTGAAGGACATTTGCATTGTTTCCAAATTTAGGCTAATATGAATAAGGCTGCTATGAACATTTTGTAGATATGTACTCACTTCTCTTGGGTAAATTCCCAGAATGGAATTGGTGGGCCACGAGGTGTGTTCATGTTTCATTTTATCAAACCTTGTCAGTTCTTTCAAACATGCTTTGAGACTTCTCAATTTCTCCTTTCCAGTCGTTCTCCCCTGCTCCCACCTGAAGTATCCCCCTTCTGCTTCTACTGTCAGGTCTGTTTCCTGACTTGCATTTTTCTTCTACCCACAGGAGAAAACAAGTAGTCACCTCTCCTGGAAGGTCACAAAACAATGTAGACCCCACAGGCTGCCAGATTATTACACTTACCCCTCCACCTATCACAAGGAGACCGGAGACAGGGATCCAGCCCACCACAAGGACACCCAAGTGTGACGTCCTTTTCTTTTCCTCACAAAGGCCCAGAGTCCACATTGCATTTCCACAGAGACCTTTCCTCCTTTCAAGGCGCAAACACAGTTTCCAGCTCCATCCATTTTTTTGCCACACAGTCACCTTACTCCTTATTTTAAATGTTTCTCCAGAAGAAAACTCCAGAGACGAAGCTCATCTGAGGGAAGCAGAGAGAAAAGAGAAGCCCCTGGCATGCTTAAGCAAAAGAAACCAATGCCTCAGAAAAGACTATAAAAAGATATGTTTTCTTTTTCCAAACTAAAACTGTTGGATTTGAAGATTCAGTCTCTGAAACACTACCAACTAGAAATTGATCGTGTCAGCAGTTAAAATAATTGGTTTATAGAGTATTCATGTTTGCAAAATAAGTTTATTCTTATCCCCAGATTTTTATTACAGGATATTTATGCAAATAAAATCCCAAAATGGGCGTTTCCAATAGTTACTATCCATACTGAGATGCCAGAAGAATCAGCTCCCTCTTCTAAATTAGATGAAGATTAATCTAACTTAAGTAAACTTAATAATCTAATTTAAATTAAATAAATGGAGATCATTATAAGCCAAATGAAGACACTAATGGTACCCTTTTATACTCAATGGAAGACTTGCCGAGCCAGGAGCATTTACAAAGTGAACTTTAAATAAATTATAGAAAGCTGAAAGTTTTATTTTATTCTGTTTGACAGTGGTTAGGTTAAGATATTTATTCATTTGGTTTTTATAGAAGAATAATTAACATAACATATTTGTTTTCAGGTATACAACATATGTTTCAATACTTGTATATGTTGCAAATGATCACCACAATAAACACAGTTAACATCCATCACCACACATAGTTACAAAAATTTTTTTCTTGTGATGAAAACTTTCAAGATTCACTTAGTTTTATAAAAACAAAAAAGAAAATATAAAGATTAAAGCAGGGACTCTGATTAAAGATGGCAGCCTAAGAGGTGAGACAGAGATCTTCTCCTAAAACCACATATAATAAGAAAATATAATTAATATAACTAATCGTGAAAGAGCAACAGGAAAGAAGGCAGCGCCAGACTGCATACACCTGGAGAAAAGAGCAGACCTCACAGAACAGTATAACGTACCAAAGCCATGACCCAGCGGGACCCAAGCCCTTCCCCCACCCCAGCTCACCAGCAGGAGGAGGAGAAACAGAGCAGGGAGGGAGTGAAGGCCTGGGACTGCTGAACAAATAACCCTGGAGACCTCCTCTGGGAGCACAAACCTACATTGCGTGGTGCTCTGGGAATTAGTTGGGTTGGAAAGTTAAGATTGCTAAAGGGGCAAGGATTTCACAGAGCTTACTGCTCAGGTGAAAAGACAGGTAGACAAAATTGTCCAGGTGTGCTCTCTCCAGCACACTGGAAACTATCACGATCTTCAGGTGCTCTATCCCCCTGGCTGGCTACTCAGCTCCAAGGTGGCTACTCACCCCCAACCATGATAAGCAGCCTGCTGCACCTTTCTCCAGGCCACCCAGCACCTGGCTCACAAACCGGCAAACCCTGTCCTGGCATCAGGCCTACCAGAGGGAAGCCCCGCCCACAGCAACTATAATCACAAAGCATAGAGGCTTATGCCTATGTGCTTGGCCCACTGGTTCTGGCAGTGGAGACAGGCATAGCAGCCCAGAAGCAGGAAACTGCTTTTTCCTCACCCCAGGCACCAGCACCACTCCCTTGCGACCCCCAGCTTCACGCCAGAGGCTGAGCAGCTCCAGACATTTGAGCTTCTGGGCACTAGAGGGTGCCACATACAAATATGAAACATCAAAGGAACCTGGTTCAAAGCAAAATCTCAACAACACCAGAAAAAGAGTTGAGTGAGAATGAACTAATAAATCTTACTGAAAGAGATTACAAAATAAAAATCATAAACATGCTGCTAGAGGTACAGAAAAATATTCAAGAACTCAGGAATGAATTTAGGACAGTGATCTAATCACTGAGGAACACAATGGAGAGTTTTAAAAGCAGACTACATATGGTGGAGGAGACGATAAATGAAATTCAAGTTAGAGAAGAGGAATACAAAGCAGCTGAGGCACAGAGAGAAAAGGATCTCTAGAAATGAAATAATTTTGAGATAACTGTGTGGCCAATCCAAACAGAACAATATTCATATTACAGGGGTACCAGAAAAAGGAGGGAGAGAAAAGAGGATAGAAAGTGTCTTTGAGGAAGTAATTGCTGAAAACTTCTGCAATCTGGAAAAGTTTTTCAGGCCATGGAGGTAAACAGACCTCCCAACACAAGGAACCCAAGGAGGACAACACCAAGAGATATAATAATTAAAATGGCAAAGATGAAGTATAAGGAAAGACTATTAAAAGCAGCCAGAGAGAGAAATAAGATCACATACAAAGGAAAACCTATCAGGCTATCAACAGATTTCTCAGCAGAAACTTTATAGGCCAGAGGGGAATAGCATGATGTATTTAATGCAATGAAGCATAAGGGCCCTGAACCAAGAATACTCTATCCAGCAAGAATATCATTTAAATTTGAAGGAGGGATTAAACAATTTCCAGATAAGCAAAAGCTGAGTGAATTTACCTCCCACAAACCATCTCTACAGTGTATTTTGGAGGAACTGCTGTAGGTAGAAGTGTTTCTAAGGTTAAATAGCTGTCACCAGAGGTGATAAAAAGGGACAAAGAATACAGAATATGATACCTAATATATAAAGAATGGAGGAGGAAGAAAAGAAGGGGAAAAAAGAACCTTTAGATTGTGTTTGTAATAGCAAACTAAGTGAGTTAAGTTATACTATTAGATAGTAATGAAGTTAACCTTGAACCTTTGGTAACCACGAATCTAAAGCTTGCAATGGCAATAAGTACATACCTATTGATAATCACCCTAAATGTACATGGATTGAATGCACCAATTGAAAGACACAAAGTCACTGAATGGATAAAAAAACAAGATCCAACTATATGCTGCCTACAAGAGACTCACTTCAAACCCAAAGACATACACAGACTAAAAGTGAAGGGATTGAAAAAGATATTTTATGGAACTAATAGGAGAAAAAAGCAGGAGTTTCAGTACTTGCCTCAGACAAAATAGACGTTAAAACAAAGAAAGTCAAAAAGAGACTAAGAAGGACATTACATAATAATAAAGGGGTCAGTCCAACAAGAGGCTACAACCATTTTAAATATATATGCACCCAATAGAGGATCACCTACATATGTGAAACAAATACTAACAGAATTAAAGGAGGAAATAGAATGCAATGCATTCATTCTATGAGACTTCAACACACCACTCACTCTAAAGGACAGATCAACCAGACAGAAAATAAGTAAGGAGACAGAGGCACTGAACAACACATTAGAACATAAGGGCAAGGCATCAGGCAAGCAGGAAAGGACTTTCTTCTCCCAGCTGACATACCTGCTGCCTGCCTACAGCCAATGCTATCACCATGAAAAGGTAGAAGAATTTAGTCCAGTCCAAAATAGTCCAGACAACCCCAGAGAGAGGACCTGCAGAGATAGACATAACCAGTCTCCCTGAAAAAGAATTCAAAATAAAAATCATAAACATGCTGATGGATCAGAGAAATATGCAAGGGCTAAAGGAGCAAGTACGGAGGGAGACTACAGAAATAAAACAATCTCTGGAAGGACTTAAAAGCAGAATGGATGGGATGCAAGAGGCCATTAATGGAATAGAAAACAGAGAACAGGAACACATAGAAGCTGATGCAGAGAGAAATAAAAGGATCTCCAGAAATGAAACAATATTAAGAGAACTGTGTGACCAATCCAAAAGGAACAATATCCGCATTATGGGGGTAGCAGAAGAAGAAGAGAGAGAAAAAGGGATAGAAAGTGTATTTGAAGAAATAATTGCTGAGAACTTCCCCAAACTGGGGGAGGAAATAGTTGCTCACACAACAGAAATACACAAAACTCCCAAAGGAAGAGACCCAAAGAGGACAACACCAAGACACATAATAATTAAAATGGCAAAGATCAAGGACAAGGAAAGAGTTTTAAAGGCAGCTAGAGAGAGGAAAAAGGTCACCTACAAAGGAAAACCCATCAGGCTATCATCAGACTTCTCAACAGAAATCCTACAGGCCATAAGAGAATGGCATGATATATTTAATGCAATGAAA